AATCTCTACAGGTACAAAACATTTACAATTTCAAAGAAGATCAATTTAAGTAGCCCTCAACATTCTTAGAAAGTCTCGGTCACTGAGGCATTCAGTTATTGGATAATCGCTAAGGGTTCGCTCATTTGCATTTTATGATCTAATCCCCAAATCTATCTACAATTTATTGTATCTTAACAGCAGGTAAACGGCTAATAGTTTTGTTCCTAATTTAGGGATTTTCCAAAATCTCCCAGTTTATATAACTACTTTCTAATTTGATGCTCAGATGTGTAAATCATTTTTGTTTTGATATTCAAAGCGTAAACACTCGTTGTGCGTAACAAAAAGGAAGAGTGTGATTTTATAATGCCTAAAACAACCAGTGCTTCAACTTGGATTAAACCTTATAAAGAGCTGTCTATGGATATGGGAAAAATCTACTGTTCAGTCTGTGGCAAAATTGTAAGTATCTAATATTTTCTATTAAATATCTAATATTTCATACATACAGGGTGTTTCCAAATGACACTTAAAACGTTTGACTGTAGATACTTCTCGAAAAATTAACAAAACGATATAGTTAATGAGGGGTCAAACTTATTTACTTTTCGAGATACAGGGTGTTAAAATTAAAAAAAATTAAATTCTTTTAGTTAATAACAACAATAACTTTAAAACCAATAAACGTATTTACTTGAAATTTAGTACTCGTAGGTTGTTTTTAAATGAAAAATAGCTTCCTTTAGTGAGAAAAAATTGTCCATGGTACAATACAATGGTGTGTATTTAGAAAAATTTTTCACCTTTACTTTTTTTTTATGAAGTCAGCTATTCTAAAACACAATTATTTTTATTGTAATTGAATTAACAAAAAAAAACTTTTGTTGAATTTTAAAATAAGTTATATGATGTACTAATGGTTAGTAACAAAAACTAATTTGTGGATTAATACTGCATTTAAAACACTTAGCGAGTGTTTTTTTTTCCAAACCAGTTATTTGATTAACCAAAAACACCTTGTATATTTTTATATTTTAAAGGTTGGGTTAAAATAAAGGTTTTTATTTTTATTTATAGATAGCATGTGAGAAGAAATTTCAGATGGACCAACATGTGAGAACTGTTTCACACATTGCAAAAAAAGGAAAAATAGGAGGAAAACATCAAACTTCAATGGCTAAATGTTTCCAATCTACTTCAGAAAAAATTAGATGAGCAAGAAACTTTTAATGAAGACCTGTGTCGCACATTAGTGTCTGCAAACATACCGCTTTCAAAATTAGCAAATGTAAATATTAGTTCGTTTCTAAAAAAATATTGCAAACTTAATGTTCCAAGTGATCGGTCTCTAAGAAGAAATAATGTGAACGGGCTATACTCGTCGGTGTTAATTAATATTAAGGAAGAAATTGCAGATAATTATTTTTACATATCTGTAGACGAAACCACTGATTCCTCAGGAAAGTATATTGCTCATTTATTGATTGGTGTTCTTAAAGAAGATACCTTACCAAAATATCATCTTATTTCATGCCAGCAACTTGAGAAAACAAATGCTTTAACAATTTCGCGTTTTATACAAGAAACATTAGCAACTTTTTTTCTTCCGACAACTATTCCTTCTAATAAATTACTGCTTATTTTATCGGATGCTGCTCCTTATATGGTGAAAGCAGGACAAAATTTAAAAATATTTTTCCCAGATTTAATACATGCTACTTGTGTAGCGCATGGATTAAACAGAGTTGCAGAGGAAATACGAAAAAGTTTCCTCTTGTAAATACCATGATATCCAGTGTCAAAAAAGTATTTCTTAAATCTCCTATAAGAATTCAACTTTATAAAGAAATGCTACCTAACATTCCTCTTCCCACCGTTTGGGAATGGGGAACACGGTTAGAAGCAGCTAATTTTTATGCAGATCATTTTGTTAAAATAAAGAACATAATTGATACGTTAACAGATGAAAGTTCCCAATCTCTTTTGGATTCTAAACAAACTTTTCAGAGTAACTTGGTTCAACAAGAACTTTCCTTTATAAAATCAAATTTTAGTTTTGTTCAAAAAACAATTACTCAGTTAGAATCACCAAAACTGTCATTGTTCGAAAGTAGAGCATTAATAAAAGAATTTGCGTCGTGTTGTCGGAACGTTAGAGGTAATATTGGAAAAGATATTTTAAAAAAATTTGAAGCTACTATGGAAAAAAATAAAGGTTACCATATTCTTTCTGAAGTAGTCAGTGTTCTAGCTGGAAATATTTCGGAAACAATTAATTTAGAACCAAATGTTTTGGTTAGTTTGAAAAATTCTCCCGTTACATCAGTTGATGTTGAACGAAGTTTTTCCATATATAAATATATGTACTCAAACAGAAGCCACAAGTTTTTGTTAGAAAATTTTGAACACCACTTGGTCATTTATTGTTATTGTTACCATAATTCTAAATAAGTTTATTCATACTTAAAAATGATGTAGTTACTTAAAATAAATGTAAATCTTAATGAATAGTAGGAAATATTTAGTTATGTACACTTTTTTTTTTTAATAAAATTGTTACTATTTTACGATTTTTTTATTTATTTGTATGCATATATTGTAAAATATTTGCATATTTTCGGGTAAACACGTGCATATTTATGCGCATATTTTCTACATTTTTTTTTGCATATTTGCCGAAGTCTAATCATTATCATCATCGTTGGTTCTGCAACCCATGGTGGATCTTGGCCTGCTCAAGGATAAGTCTCCATTCTCTCCTATTCTTCGCCTTGGCTTTCCAGTTTCGTAGTCCCAAACATTCTCAAGTCTTCTTCCATCTGATCTTTAAATCGTGCTCTGGATCAGCCTCTCCTTCTCACTCCATCTATTCTTTGGTTATAAATATGTTTTGGTGGCTCCATCTCATTCATTCACTTTATGTGACCTAACCACCACAGCCGGTGATCTTGTTCGTTTTTGCCCCAGGAGATTTATGTAAGTATCCCTTTGTTTTTATTTAATAGATATCCCAATCCGACCCAAATTTATTTCAACTTATCCACGACCCAGCTCTCCAACAACCCTCTTAGTGTCGTACGCACTAGTTTAGATTATTTTGTTTGCCCAATCTTCTTCCCAATGTTCTTACTGAGGTAAGCAAAATATATCCTTACAAGATCTCATAAAATTAATTAACTTCACTAAACTGTCCATGACTTCTTTAAGTCTAGCACTAAGTTTTCCACAAGGGCTGCCTGGTGTATTATGCACTAATATGTTATTTAATTTGAATTTTTATCCCTGTTTCTTTTTGATACACCTTTTTCTTTGCCAATCATTGCTGGGGCCCCATCAGTAGGAAGCGAAATCATTTTATTATAATTGATTTTAGAGAATTTAGAAATTAATTCATGAATAACCTTCTTCTCGAGTGTTATCTTTTAGCGACAATATTGCTAGCAACTTTTCCCTAAAAATCTGATACTATATCAAGAAATCTTACAAAACAGACATTAATTTGTTCATTAACAATGTCACATCATTCGTCAAGTGCTATAGCGTAGCAAAGTGCCTTCTTAGTGTATTACTTTGCGATGACAATGAGATGCCTTGAATTGCTGAGGCAACATCTTTTTTCTTCAAAAAGTGAGTTAGCTACTCCTAGCATACATTCCTTCACTATCTCAGAATCAGCAAATGGTTTTTGGTGTTTATTAAGTATCCAGCACACACTTAACGCTGCCTCTGTGGATTTTTCTTGGTCGTTCATGCAGCGAACTAGGATTTTCATGTTGAGTTGTTTCGTAGTGTCGCTTCAAATGTCCACTTTTAACTAAGGCGACAGTTTTATTGCATATAAGGCACACCGGAACCGCTTGTATCATATCAGGCAGTGTAAAACAATATTATTCAGTCCATTCTGCCAGAAACTTCCTATTTTCAATGTCCACTTTTCTCCTTTTCGGGTCCATATTAACGTAGGTACAAAAAGATGTTTTATAAAACGAACAAAAACGCGAGTAATCACAAAACAAATTAACGGTAGTGCGTTGTCACCATCGAGCAAAAAGACAATAGAGGGAATGTAAAGGTAGTGGGGGCAAACATATTGTTAGACAGGAAGTGCGATCTTTAGAGGCCACTTTAAACAAGGAAAGAGAGTCTCTCTCCTTGTTTGACATCAAATTTAGTTGGGTTATGTTATTGTTTGTCCCAAATGTCACATGAAATCTTATTTATATTGAAGTTTTTTAACAATTGTGTCGCATTTTAGACTCTTATCATTAATAATTAATTAAAACTTGCTCGTCTAAGACACATTCTGAAAAATATTATATAGCTACTGTTGATAAGTGTCGGAAAATTTAAATTTCGCGCATTCGCATTTCCGGATATGTCCGCCATCAGAGGCCACTTTTTTGGTCTCCTTTTCATAAGGATTAGATTCCCTCTTTTGTCTTATTGCTTGATGGTTGTCACTGACCAACTAGTGAGCGACTGTCAGTCAGTGGACAGCAGCGTTGCCAGGGCCATAAATTTTATTTCCCCAAATTGTATTTTAACCATTACCAGATTTCGAATGGAATTCCCCAGATTTATTTATTTCAGTTATTTTAAACATACAATATTATTATAAAACAATACTTCATCACTCATACATAATTGTTATTATGTTTATTTATCATTTCACGTCCTATTTGAAAATTAACAGCAGTTTTATTTTGAACTTGATTCGACTCAGCAATCGATATTCCGCAGTTCGATCCGCAGTTCAACCTTTCGCGGTCGCCTGTTGCCGACTGTTTATCTAAGTAGTCACATATCACATATATTTATCCACATAAATTATAGGGAATACAATAGGTATACAAACACGTGTATACACGTGTATACAAACTGAATCACTGTAAATACGTCTTACATCTGCCGAAGGTTGAGACGCTACTGGTTATTAGATACTTATTATGATTAATTTTATGCTTTTCAAGAAAAATGATGTATTTATATTCTAAACTTATTTCTTATGCAGGACTTACCAGTAGGCGGCCTTTCCTTTGGGTAACATATCCTGAATAATCCTTTTGTTCTCGTATAGTAGTAATATTTTGAATTCACATTTTCTAACAACGCCTGGCTTTGCGGATCTGAATGTTTACTTAGATAATTCTGAAAAAAAAAGAAATTTTAAGTTATTTAACTTTTTCTTCCTCTTTACAATGATACTAAAAGAGATACAAATAAAACTACTGATTTGGGGAAACATATTAAATGTATTAACACATGCAATGTGCCAACAACAAGTGTTTGTTATTTTATTATAATCCTGGAAAAATGTATCAAAAAGTTTTCAAATGTAAATAATTTGGGTTTTAGATATAGTTTGATACAGTGGCGTAACTAGAGAGTGGATGAGGCGGTCCGCTTCGGGTCTCTGACATGAGGGCCTCCAAATTGGCATAAAAATTATAAAATAAAAATTAACAAATAACGAAAAAAAATAATAATAATAAACTTATAAAACTACACTCTGGTACATAACATAAAATAGTTTTAATGTTTACTTTATGTTTTGTTTTAGAATCTTTAGATAGTGTATATAATTTCTTCTCGCCCTCTCCACTTAGATGGGGGATTTTAATGGAAGTAATGGGTGCATCTCTAAAACAACTATCTGACCTTAGATGGAGTGCAAATCTTGAAGCTTTGAAATCTATTTTGAAACATTTTGACAAATTAGTTCAAGTTACAGATAAATTGTGTGATACCAAGGAAAATATTATAACATGGGGCTCTGCTGAAATTTTACTCCCGAATATTTGTGATTTCAAATTTCTTGGATTTCTTCATTTATGGGGGTACATTTTGCAAGAAATAAACAGTCCAAAGAGGTATTTACAGACGGAGTGGTTAAGCCTTGAAATCTTCCTTGAAAAAATAGTAGAAGTTTAAAAAAGATAATGCCTAGAGAAACAACCGAAGATGTCGGACTATCTCTTGAAGATGAAACTAAAAATGTATGCTTGAATGTTTAGACAGGCTACACCAAGAGCTTCAAACTAGAATGTTAAGATTGGAGACTGTATTTGAAACATTCAAAATCGTTCAGGTCAAGTATTTACTCAATGAAGAAGAGGCCAGAAATTTGACTACCTTGAAGATGGCACAGTTTATTCTTGACATGGACCTGATGGATGAAAACTAAATTGGGTACTTAAAGGTAAAAAGGTACTTAAAAGTAGACAAATCGACGAATTGATTGGCAGACGAATGCACTGTAGAAAACAGAGGTTTTAGTTATTGAAGTCTATAAAATTCAATAGACATGTCAAATACCTGGCCGGTTCAAAGTCTAGGGAATAACTTATTTCTTTGAACTAAAAGCAAAACATATCAAACATACATATAATATAGTGTGGCTGCGGCAAAACCTTTTAGACAAAAAGGATAGGGTATTCAGGCCTTCCACATGCTTAATATGCTACGTCCTATACAGCTAATTGCAGTAATTTGTATCCGGAAGATTAGACGTGCTTCAAAAATTCCGTTTCATAATAAACCGATTAAACTCATCAAAAATTAAAACAGTTAACAACCTTAACTAAGTGAATCCATTGTTTTTAGTTGCAAAATTTTATAATACTGCCACAATATGCAGAGAAAGTTAAGTTTCTTTAAAATTCACAACACGACTTAAGCGAAATATAAAACATAAGATCTGTGAGAAATTTGTGTATGTACAAAATCGATCATGTATTATTCATATTTTCTATTCTATAAGGAAATCGGTTTGTTGCAGAATAAATAAAACTGGATATGTTCTTTTTATATCTGAGTTAGTTAAAAGATTTTAATGGAGTAATCATTTATGGCAGTAGGTACTGCTGGAATTATTTTTCAGTAAAGTTTACGTAGTTCCATCTCTCCTGTAGTTTGTTAAAGAATAATGTGAAAAATAAAGATATCTATTAAAAATTTTTATTTAGTTGCTAACTATTAAAATTTTGAGTAAACAGTGTAAGTGATATTTAGACCTTTTCCTAGTTCCTTACTCATTATCCTTAATGATTTTTAGTGTGATTTTAGTATAATAGTATGCAACCATCATATCACGTCTGTAACCTATAAATTGATGTTAACTAAACACGTGCATAAACAACTCGTAAATAATACAATTTTAGTAAAAAAAGTGGCTGCTGTGTTTAGTTGCTGATTAACACAGATTAGTGATATACATATATTGTTAATTTTTGATATTGTTTTCATCGATTTTACCTCAATTTCTAAACGGGACTCTAGTGTCCCAGTAGTAGTTTATACCGGGTCATATTTATCTCATTCATATTGTTTGGTTGCAGACTTACTATGGCACGTAGACGTTTTCTAACACAAAAAGAGCTTCAAGAAGAAATTGAAAACCACTTAAATATTTCTGAAAATGAATCCGAGCGATTAAGAACCTTATGGTGACGACTCTGCCTCAGATTCTGATGAAGTACCTGAGAATACTCCTGACCGTGTGGATGTAAACATCACTGCTTCCAACGAAGAAAATTCGGATAACACGGAAATATCTGAAGATCAGTCTGAAAGGGATGAATTGACTAGAATAGAATATACCAAATATAAACTTTTGTCCGAAACAAGAAATTCCTATCCACAGAAATGGGATAAGAATACTAAATATTGTTAAAGGTTCTCGTCCTGTTGATATTTTTCTAAAATTATTTCCGCGTAGTTTATTCAGTTTATTCATCCATATTACTTTCTGTACAAACCAAAGAATAGTGACACTTCCAAAACACAGAAATATAAAATTAAACACGAAAAAAACAAATATGTACGAAATGGTGACAGTGATTGGTTGTACTATGGTTATGTGTTCCAATAAAATACCATCTATCTCACACTACTAGTCACAAAACGAATCACTTTCGAATTCGCTCATAAAAACTATTTCAAAAGATCGCTGTTTATTTCTACTATCTAAGTTCTACTATAATAATCCTGAAAGAAATGGTAATACATCAAAAACTAAACATACTAAATCGATAATGTGGTTTCTTGTTTGAAACAAAATTTTTGCAAAGGCGAGGAATGAGAGTTCCTATCAGTCCATCGACGAATTAATAACTCAGTTCAAAGATCTGCAGTGAAGCAGTATATTCCTATGAAGCCAGTAAAAAGAGGTATAAGTTGTGGCAACTAAGTGATTCTTTCACAGGATATATACAATTTCAATATTTACTCGGAAAAAGAATTCACATCAACTACAGGAACTCTAGGAGAACGAGTTGTTGAAACTCTAGTTAACACCATACGGTCACCAGATGTGTGTCTATGCTTTGATAGATTTTTTACTTCGTTCAACCTACTAAACACCCTAAATTTTTTATAGTTAGGAACCTATATCGCCAATCCGATAAACGTAGCCAAATTTGAAAATAACAAAATGCTAAGGAGTAATATCTTTTTAGTTTCATCCGAAGGAATTTTAGCGACTCAATGCAAAGATACAAAAGAAATGATGCTGATGTTTAATTTTCACAGTACGACTGTTGGAATTATCAACAGAAAGCTGAAAACTGGAGAAAAAACTGAGTTTACTTTATACACATATGATATGGACCGAAAATCTGAGAAATAGTGGAGAAAAGTTTTTTATAGATTAGTTATGTACGCTATTGTAAATGTTTACTTTTGAATTTTCTGGTACCACTAGCAGAACAGCTAATTGAATTAGGGAGATCAAAATCAAATGTCATGGCCGTTCTGGAAGAATATCTAAAAGACAGAAACAAATGATCAACGTTGAAAACTATTTGCCCCAACAAATACCTACTATAAAAAGAAGGTGCTTTAGATATTCACAAAATAAATCAAAAGCTCGAACTACGACTATTTGTATAGCAATGTGCCTCTATGCAAAAATTGTTTTTTACCCCATCGTTCATAAGAAGTAATGTTTTTTTGTGTAATGTACTTTTTTATTTTGAATATTTTCTTTAAGTCTTTTATTTAAGTTTGTTTCTTTACTGGTGTGATTTATTTATTCCACCATTCAACACTAATGGGACATATATGTCCCATGTCTTTCTAAGGATACAAGGGCATGCAACAATGTAAAAAAATCAATCGCTTTGTTAGGTCTCTAGGTATCAACGAATATCATTAAAGTCATTAAAGTCAGCCACGGTCCAGAGGCTCTCGTGTTTTTAAAATAGTCGCCCTCAGGCATAAATATCTACTTAATGCTCTTGGTACATAAATAACTATTATAGGCTTCATATTTAGTATATAAATAATGTGTGTTATTAACAAAAAAAATATTCTTAATGTACGCAAAGAGTACATACAAATTAAAAAAAGAAACGATAAAATCCATCAACAAGAACTGAAGATATAGTTAATCGCGCGGATTTTAAAGTTCCCCTTCCACTACTCTAAACTGACCTAATTGGAGCTCCATATTTTTTTATGGCTTTTCTAAGCTTTGTAGACAACTCCGTTGTAAGATAATCATTTTGAAATTTTTACATTAAGACGACAGTCTTTGATTTTTCAAATGCCGCTAATTAGGTTTGTTAACTGATAATAAATAGATTTTGAAAAAGCAGTTGACAAGGTGCAACATCAAAAATTATTTCAGATACTGAAAGAATCTAGGATTGATGACAAATGTTTACGCCTAATTAAAAATTTATACTTACAGCAAAGGGCAACTGTACGAGTAGATAACGAAACCTTACAAGAATTCACGATAAAATGGGGAGTACGTCAGGGCTGCATTTTGTCATCGACGTTGTTCAATATTTACTCGGAAATGCTGTTCAGAGAAGCTATTGATGGTTTACGAGAAGGTACAAAAATTAATGGTGAAATCATAAACAATTTAAGATATGCGAACGATACGGTTTTGATTGCTGATAATGCGGAGGATCTGCAAACATTACTAGACCGTGTAGTGGAAGCCTGTGACAGATACGGCATGAAATTTAATTGTAAGAAGATCGACATTCTTGTAGTAAGTAAAAACGACGTAATACAGCACCAATTCACAGCTAATAATGAACTCTTGAAAATAGTCGACAATTACATATCTTGGATGCAGCCTAACTAAGAAATGAGACCACTCACAGGAAATAAGATGTCGTATAGAAAAGGCGAGA